GTAGAATCCTGATGGGCATACACACAGGGGATTCATGTCTTCCCACCTTTCTTCAACAAACCTACAACATAAACTAGATAAAACAATTAGTTATGCGTGAATGTTTGACTTAGATGATATGCAAATGATCAATGAATCTAAGGGTAAAATTTGGGGTGCGACACATATAATTTACATGTCAAAAAAGAAATATCCATCTGGAATGATAATGATTATCTTTCTAAAAACCACATTCTAAACGGTTCGGCCAACAATTTTTATGATTGCTACAGTAATTTTGAGACTGCTAAACAAGTATGGGAAGCTCTGCAAAAGAAATATGATACTAAATAAGGTGGAACAAAGAAGTATGTCGTTAGTTGCTACCTAAAGTATCAAATGATATAAATGAAAGGTCTGTGGACGCTAAATGTTACAAACTTTAAAATATTGTTTATAAGATCGTCCCAAAATGTATGTGTTTAGATGAGTAATTTCAAATTTCTTTTATTATTGACAAATTGCCCCTTATTTTGAAAGTTTTTAAAATTATGCTTTGTTACAAAATAAAAGAAATCTTAATCGAGAGTATAATTATTCACCTTTTAATTGAATAAGAATCTCATAGATAGATAAAAAATAAAAAGTTTTGGTTGTTTCAAATAACAAAAATAAATTTGGTGTACTTCTGAAGCCATTTGGTAAATGATTAAAGTATCAGAACTGCAATGTTGTGAGCCGAATTAAGAATGAGAATCCTTTCAGGGAACCATTTATTCCAATTGATAGGCAACAACCACCACCACAAATAAATGATACTTATGTTTTCTCTTGTTTCAATTCTGGAAAACTAGGTCATATGATTGAGAAATGTAAGACCAGACTTAAACATTATGTTGCCCCTAATGCATATGTTAACCTAATTGATGAGCAATTTATTGCTTTGATCACAAAAATCAACACGATTTGTGAATCTGATGGTTGATGGATAAACATTGGCTCTTCTCATCATGTTTGTAATGATCGTGCAATGTTCAAAACATACACAAATAATAAAGTGTTGTTGGGAGTTGCCCATACCACTAATGTTATCGACATTAGAGATGTGGAGCAAAGTCCACCTTTGAAATGACTATAATCTTGAAGGATGTAATGTATACTTCAAAGATTATAAAGAATCTTGTTTCTAGTTTTATTCTGAAAAAGGCAGTGTTTAGTAAGTCTATTAGCGTAGATTTGTACACAACCACTAAGAATGATATTTTTGTGAAGTTGCTATGTTTAAGACTTTTGTGATTGAAAATCAATTTAGTAAGAAGATTAAAATACTCTGTAGTGTAGGGGAAATGAATATGATTCTAGTTTATTTAATGAATTTTATAAACATGTAATTGTACATGAAACAGTCACACCATACTCTTCTAAAATGAATGGTAAAGCAAAAAGAAAGAATATAACTCTCACTTAACTTGTTGTTGCAATTATGATAAATTCTAGTGCTCCTCCGCACTGGTAGGGGAAACTTTGTTGACTGTTTGTTATGTCCTGAGTAAAGTTCCCAAGTTAAAAAGTAGAATCTCTCCTTATGAGATATTAAATAAAATACAACCAACCTTGTCTTATTTACAAACTTGGGGTTGCCTAACTTATGTCAAAATTCTAAATCTGAAGCGAGTAAAACTCACTAGTAGAGCCTATGAATGTGTACTCATTGGGTATGCAACAAATAATAAGGCATATATGTTTTATGACCTAAATGCTAAAATGATCATATAATCAAATGACGTTGAATTTTATAAAGATAAATTTCCTTTCAAATCAAAAAATAGTGGGGGCACTGAATCAAATCACATTCTTGTGATAAGAAGCACCAAAAGCAACGATGAAGTAGACAAAAACTTTGATGAAGTAAAAGAGTAAGAGTTTCTAAAGACTATGAGCTTGATTATGTGACCTATATAGTAAAAGAAGATCTAACAAATCTTTAAGCCTTGTTATCTCTGGATGCATATTTGTTGCAAGAAGTTATTAATGAAGAGATATATTCTCTAGAATCTAACATGACTTGACACTTAGTAGACTTTCCTCTCGGTTGCAAATCAATTGGTTGTAAATGAGTTTTGAAAAAGAAACTAAAACCTGATGGAAAAGTTGATAAGTACAAGCTCTCCTTGTAGCCAAAGATTTTAAGCAAATTGAAAATATAGATTTCTTCGATACTTTTTCTCCAGTAACTTGAATTATATCCATTAGGATACTTATTTCAATGGGTTATTTATAACTTAATAATACACCAAATGGATATTAAACAACTTTTTTAAACATCAACTTAAAAGAAGAAACCTATATGGACTAACCAGAACGGTTTGTGATTCATGGACAAGAAAATAAGGTCTGTAAGTTAGATAAGTCTTTATATGGTCTAAAACAAGCTCCAAAGCAATGACATGAAAAGTTTGATAACTTAATTATATCGAATGAGTACAAAGTGAATGAAAGTGACAAATGTGTTTATTATAAATCAGGGAATCACATTTGCATTATCATATGTGTCTATGTAGACGATCTAATCATACTTGGATCAAACATTCAGGCTGTTAATTATGTGAAATAATTTTTGTGCAACAACTTTGATATGAAAGACCTCAGAGAAGCGAGCGTGATTCTTGGTATAAATATCACGAGATCCGAACAAGGATTTCTTTGGATCAATCACACAATGTGGAAAAGATCTTAAATAAATATAACTACTTTGACTGTAAACTTACGAGTAAACCATACGATCCAAGCGTGAAACTGTTTAAGAACATTAGTGAAAGTGTAAGACAAATGGAATATGCAAGCATCATTGGTAGTTTGAGGTATGTCAGTGATTATACAAGACCCGACACTGCATATGTCGTAGAATTGTTGTGCAGGTTTACTAGTCGACCGAATAATGAGATTTGGCAAGATATTGAACGAGTTATAAACACTTTAAAAAGATTGTGAATATCGGTTTACATTATAATAAATTTTGTGTTGTACTTGAATGATACAATGATGCATATTGGAATACCTTATCAGGTGATTCTAAAGCAACTAGTGACTATATATTTAGTATAACTGAAGAAGATGTATCTTGGAAATTAAAGGAACATACTATTTTGGCTTAGTCCACGATGGAGTATGAGATGATAGCATTAGGATTGATAGTGAAGAAGCAAGTTGGTCAAGATGCTTGCTAGCTGAGATCCCTTTATGGAAAAAACCTATGCTAGTTGTGTTGATCCATTGTGATAGTACCATAGGTATTGAAAAAATTGAGAACCGTTAGTATAATGGTAAATGATGTCAAATAAGGAGAAAACACAACACTGTTAGAGACTATATCTCTAAAGGAATTATAGAAGTGAATCTTGTAAGCAGAAGTGGATCTTGTACACACTGATAAAAATTTAGCAGATCCTTTGACGAAAAGATTAGCTAGAGAGAAATTCCTAATACATCAAAGAAGATAGAACTAATGCCTATAGAGAAATGAGTTGCTCGTGTTGGTTACCCGACCTAAATGACTGGAGATTTCAAGAAATATGTTCAATGAGCAAGAGCAAGTTGTGAGTAATATGAGGTGGTCATGCTAGAGTAAATAAGAGAAATATGAATCCTAAAGCGATAAAAGGCTGAAATAATATAAGCTCTTAATGAGATCTATATTATGTATGAGGGAGTATCTAGGAGTACTCTTGATAGATTCACCTATGTGATTGTAGAACTCTGATCGATTTCTACGGAATATTGAGGCAAAATTAAAAGACGAACTATTTTAATACATCTTAAGAAAAATTGTGTGCGAGTTTGATGTTTGAGATAGATATTAAGACAATTGTGTCACTCTTGTTGAATTGGAACTCTACTTGCTACACAAAGGTTTAAGTCGTAGACACATTTGTTTATGCACGGTCTTATAAACATTTAACGTTACTTCTGAAACACTTTTCTGAAACACTTTTCTTCTTATTTGAGTTAAGAAATTATCAAGTATAATTTTTGGATTCACTTTAGAGAATTATTTGAATTTCTCTTTCTTTGAGAAATCAATTTGAGTAGTCAAATGACCATTATTAAATGATTGGAATTTCTCTTGATTTAAAAAATTATTACGACTGACGTTATATCAGATACTATTAGAATGTGTATTTTTAGACGAATTATCTACTATGTATGTAATAATTGTATAATATATAACTGCAATATTTTATTCTGAAAGTGAGCAGTAGCTCAATAATTTTAGATAATCCTACAAAACATTTTAAAGAAAACGAATCGTTATGTGATTCATTCTCATAACTTTTAGGATGACTACTTTTAAAAATCCAAAAACAATAAGCTCAAACCATCATACGCCGACCGACCCTCTCAATCATCCTTAACTATCAACATGAGACAAGGACGGAGACAACGAACCCAACACCATACAAGGAGTATGGTGGCATATAATTGACATAACTCCTTTCATAATTTTGACTTTTTTAAGACATCTGTATACACGACCAATCGATTCAAATTATATATTAATTTATAGCATTGCTATTTGAACACAAAAATTTATAGTGCAAAGATACTAAAAAATACTATATTGGTAATGAGTGTGTATTTGATGCAAGAGAGAAAAATATTAAAACACCTTATCATAATGAGGTCTATCTATTAATTTGTGTGCTTTTGCTCCCTTATAGAATCATTTCCTCTACTTATCCATAACTTTTCTAACAAGCAGTAAGAAAAAAATAAATATACTTAACCAACATATTGATTCTAGACTTAATAAGTAGAATCAGGATTTCATTTCTGCAATTGCGATAGAAAGAAAGTTATATTAATTGACGTTGAAACTCATCTCTAAATCAGATTAATCGATCCGTTAAATCGGATAATAGTGTTAAAAAGATAAAATAAAAATAAATATATATGTATAGTAGGAGCCACCCAAAGGGTCGTACTTTTCCTTCAACAACAACACCCTCTACTTCTTCCTCCTCTTATCCCTCTTTTTCAACATCGTGTGTTTTTTCTCCAATCATTTCATTTTTAGAAAATTCTTCTTCATTGCGTGAATGTTCATTTTCATCTATGACATCATCATCAATATCAATGTCACTATCTTCTTCTTGTTCTTCTTCCGAGTTAAAACTTGTAGCTTCATTTGTCAAAAAACACAAGCGAAGACGACCATGGCTTCTCTCAGCTCGGAAACAAGATGTTCTTCGTGGGACCTTAGTAACTTCAATCACTAATCTTCCATCTTCCCGGTGAGGTCTAACACGAAGAGATTCTGATCCCCTTATCGTTGCCAAAGGTGGCGGAAAATTCTGAATTTTCACTGTCTTAGTATCCGCTAAAACATGACGACAACGTTGTCTTTGTTCTTTTGTTTCCATTAAAGACAACAACATGTCGTTTTCTACAATGTTACTACCACTACCACTCTCATTACCAAGATTCTCTGTGCACAGTTCAAGACTCTTTGGACTCAAAACCAAAGAGGAACGTTTCTGTTGAGGATGAACATAACCGGTGGTTGTGGTTTGTGAGATATTGGAAAGAGCATCAACGAAGTTCCAACCACTATTGTCGGGCTTGTCTTGAAAAGTTTCTGTTTTGTTGACGTTTGAATCAGGGAAACAAGATTTGAAGGCTAAATCATTGGAACGTTTTGGAGAAGGCAGCGTTAATGTTAGTGTCCTTGATTCAACAAGTTGAGATTCAAGATGCAACTGTAATCTAGGATGGTACATGATTGCAGCCATGATTGATGTTTGTGTCTTAACTAGGATGTTTCAAAATACAAGTTGAGGTAAGCTAAGAGAGTGTTATGTTTTTTTGTAAGGAGTGGAAATGAAACAAAGTTTTAGAGGGAGAGAATGGTATATGGAAGAAGTGAAGGGAGTGAGAGGGTGAATTTGTAGTCCCAAAAAGTGTTTTTGACATGAAATAGGAAAAAAAAAAGGAGCTTTTGAGCCATTTGTGTTGAACAATTTCTTAATGACAAATGTTATTTTACATTAATATTTTGATATTGTATATCGTGTGTATATTTTGATATTGTAACAATGAAAGATTTTAAAAGTATTTTTGATTTCCTATTTTAATAAAACATAATTTTTAGTTTTTTTCTATTTCACAAGTTTTGGGACGTAAAAATGTGACTTGATAGCACGTCTAAAGGAGACTTTGATTTTGATAATTTCGGGTGATTTTGATTATTTTTAATGAAAGAGAAAGTGAAAAAAGAATGATAGAGAATGATTTGAAGTAAGAAATACATACAAAATTCGGATTGATTTTGATGCCCCAAAGTCATCGAAAATTACTCGATTTTCGTTTGTATTGTTCATCACTATCAATAATTATTTATTTTTAATAATAATAAAATAATATAATTTTATAAATTATTTTTTTAATATGGTAACAAAATAAAAAAAATTTAACATCTCATTTTTCCAATTAAACTATATTGGAATAATTTTATTAGATTATAAGAAAGAGATAATCTAGGAAGAAAAAAGGAAATTAAAGCACATTGGTGAAAGACGAGTTTCCTAGCGAAGCCACAAGCCTGGGGGCAAAAGGCTGCTCAAATTCGATGGTTGATCGCCCTATTGAGCACGGGATGCTCGAAATAATCCTCATTTGTCCACTAAACATAGGTGATGGCGTGTGACATAGGAAGAAGAAAGTAAAGTCAAACACACTTGCGAGAGGCGAGTTTTCTAGCAAAGCCACAGGCCGCCTGAGATAAGATATAAGGTCGCCTGAATTCAATGATTGGTCGTCCTATTGGGCTTGGGCCACCCAAAGTAACTCCCATCTGCCAAAAACGTGGGTGATGATATGTGACCATTCGGTAACTTGCTGAAGAGAAAGCTGATACATAAAACTACTTCCCCCATGATTCAAGGAAAAACAAGTATCCTCTTTGCCACGTTCTCTAATCATAGAAGCAAAGGGACTGTTTTTCGGCTCTCGAGCCCAGACCCATGGATACTTTATGAATACCTCAGCCCATAGCTAATAAATGGATCAAATATTTCACCCAAAAAACCCATAAACACAGCTTCTCCCAACCCTATGTTAGCTAGCCCTAAACACTTCCAAAAACCCTAAATGTCAAATATAACCCTAGACTTTAAGGAGTTGTCCTCATTGTACTTTAAGGGTGCCACCGTGGCAAGCAACATTCGAATGGATATGTGCTTCACAACAGGATAGAACACACCATTAAAGTCGACACCTTCTTTTCGAGTGATCCCCGTAGCAACCATTCTTGTCTTGTATCTCTTTGACGCCACTCCTTTATTCCTTCCTTAACTTTGAAAATCCATTTACAGCTGACTAACCTAGCTCCAACAAGTTTCTTGATCAGTTCCCAAGTGTTGTTATCATGAAGAGATTTCAACTCATAATCCATGGCCTCCAACCATTCAGTCTTCTTTCGAATCCTCATAACTTCCTTATAGTCTTTAGGTTCTTCATCTAGAACCTCACTTGCCGAGATTAAGGCATAATCTATAAGATCTGCATACCCAAGTCTCTAAGGTGGATTGATGACTCTCCTCGACCTGTCTCTTGCTAGCAGGTAGTCATTATCAGTCTCCTCATCTTAGACAACATCTTCTGCATCTTCTTTGACTTCATCTGGGGTACAAAATTCAACATCAACATGCTCCATCTCAAAAGGAATCTCTCCCTGTTCCAGCTCTTCATCAGCATCATCAATTTTCTTGAAAGCCATCTCCGCTTCATTGAAAAATACATCTCAACTGGTGACACACTTTCTGTGACCTGGCTCTAGGCACCATAGCCTTTAATCTTTGACTCCTTCAGGGTATCCCATGAATATGCATTTCAGAGCTCTAGGTTCAACCTTGTCTTGCCTAATATGAGCATAGGCCACACAACCAAATACTCTCAGTCTGTCGAGACTAGGTGGATGTTTCGGTCAAACTTCTTCAGGTGTCTTCATTCCCAAGGCAGTCGAGGGACATCTATTTATCAGGTAAGCTGCTGTCAAAACAGCTTCCGCCCAAAACACATTCTTCAATCCAACACTAACCAACATGCATCTAACCCTTTCAAGGATTGTTTGATTGGATATCTCAGCTAAGCCATTTTGTTGAGGAGTACATGCTACAATCTTATGTCTTGCAATCCCAGACTTAACACAATAACTGTCGAACGCTTCGTTGCAGAATTTAAGGCCATTGTCGGTTCTCAACCTCTTGACCTTTCTGCTAGTTTGAGTTTCGACCAGAATCTTCCAACTTTTGAAATTCTCAAACGTTTCATCCTTCATCTTCTGGATGAATACCCATAGCTTTCTGGAATAGTCATCAACGATGGATAGAAAATACTTTGCACCAGAGTGTGAAGGATTCCTTACAAGCTCCCAAAGATCAGCATGAATTTAGTCCATGATCCATGTGTTCTTTGCTTGCCTTTGTTAAACTTCGCTCTACAGGATTTACCAAATACACAAGATTTACAAAACTCCAACTTTTCAAATTTGTCACCTCCTAGCAGGTTCTGCTTCCCCAATTCGACCAGGCCTCTTTCATTGACATGGCCCAATCTCATATGCCATAATTCTGTCTTCGACATAGGTTGAATGCAACATTTGTCAAACCACTTACAACCTCAACCTCAAGGGTATACAAGCCTTGTTTCATCACGTCTCTCAAGACTTCCTTCAACCCCTTCATGACTCTTAGGATACTTTTCTCTCCTTGAAAAACATATCCATTTCTGTCAAATTCACCAAGAAAAATCAAATTTCTCTTCAAGTCAGGTACATACCTGACTTCAGTCAATAACCTTATTGACTCATCATGGAGCTTGAATCTCACTGATCCAATACCTTCAATTTTGCAAGATTTGTTGTTTCTCAACAGCACAGATCCACCATCTTGATCACATAGCTCCTCGAACAATTCTCTGTTTAGAGTCATGTGCCAAGTGTAACCTAAATCCATAATCCACTTTTTTCTTGAATCGCCATTTAAAACCACAAGAACATTAGATGAGTCAAAGTCATCTTGAACAATGGCTGCATTGCCATTACCTCCATGATCTTTCAAGTGTTCAGGGTACACCTTTCTTGTGTGGCCCTCATTCTTACAGTGATAACATCGAATACCAGATATTTTGCCACTATAATATTTCTGTTGACTTTTACCTTTCTTCTTGTCGAACTTACCATCCTTTCGCAAGAATTTTCCCTTAACGGTCAAACCTTCGCCCATCGTCGAAGGTTTATGCTCCTTTTGTTTGTTCAAGTCCTTATAATACAAGGCTGATTGAACTTCTTCAAAATTCAGGGACTCCCTTCCATACAAGAGAGTTTCTTTGAAGTGATCATATGTTCTAGGCAAAGCACACAATAGCAACAATGCTTGATCTTCATCATCGATCTTCACATCAATATCTTCACTAATCTTGAATGAATACAAAGCTTACTTCAGGTAGATTCGATTCACCAGAGATTTGGTCATGTACAAACTTTTAAGTTTCACCCATAATCCCGATGTTGTAGTCTTCTTTGATACCTGTCGAAGAACCTTATCACCAAGGCTCAACAATATTGCGTTGTGGGCTTTCTCAATCATGCTTGTCTTTTTTTTTTTTTGCCGTTAATGCAGCGTCTATGGCTGCCCCTCCCTTCAATGCTTCCAAACAACCCTACTGAACCAGTAGGGTTTTCATCTTCAAGCGCCACAGACCGAAGTCGTTCACTCCGGTGAACTTTTCAATCTCATACTTTGTTGAAGGCATCTTCTCCATGCTCACCGCACCAATTTTTTGTGACTCAGATGTCTTTAAACAAAGTATAATACGATTTCTTTATGATCAAGAAACACACAAGGGTTAGGGTTAACAAAGAAACTAAGGTAATACAACAAGAAACAACAAGGATTGGTTATAAAATGTTATTCTTTCCTTACTCTTAGAACACGATTACAAGTATACAAGAATAACAAAATAACCTCTATCTCTTAAAATTAGGATTTTATCTTCCTATTTTTCCTTATTCCAAGATTGAGAAACTAGCATCCTATTTATAAGAAAAATAACACACTAACCTAATGGGCTTTTTAACAATTACCCATTACAAGCTAACTTAGGATACAAGCTAACTTAAACAATTGAGCTTACAAGCAAGGCCCAATTCAACATGCTAACAACCTTAGCAATATTGACTAATGCATGTTAGAACAAACTTCAACTATAACACGCATTACTCCGACATCAGCATGTGAACATACTTCGAGCTCATGCTTAATTCCTGTCGAACCAGAAGCTACCCTTCGATCATACTAGAGTTTGATCCAATATCTCACAAAGAGATTATCTTTATGGTTTAGTAACAACTTGATAGTCATGATACTCTTGTATATAATCATGATTATGCAATGAAATATGCAAGAAAAATATTCTCTCACATGAAGCACTAAATCGTCTGAAAATGCAAAATTCCTTTTAAATTTAACATTTTTGGTTAGAGACTTCTTCAAGATAAAAATAGACTTTCCACAAAGAAGGAATTACATAAGATAAGTATCATAACTAACCTTTTTGTTATTAAGATGTGTCTTTTGTTTGGAATGTATAAAATAATTGAAACATCTCCTATTCTCTTTCTCAAAAGTAGGGAAACTTTGGAAATCTATTCTTAGTTAGTTTAGATATTATTTTAATATAGAGGAATCTCAATTATATCACTTGTATTGTTTTGGGGGAAATTTTACATATA